CCTGCCACAGATATGATGAAATGATGGAATCTAACTGCACAAAGAATTAACCAGGGATAAAAACAGGAATAGTTTGAAAGAGATATAAAAGCTTAGGTAAAGTGACCATCTTGACTGAGTTAATACGGTCTATGAGGGATGTGGAAAGAGGTGACCACCGGGATAATGCCTGCTTTGTCTGATTCAACAGAGAGACAAAATTTTCTTGATATAAATCTTTATACCACCTCGTAACTGTAACACCCAGGTAAGAGAATTTTATCTTCTCAATTTTAAATGGTCATTTACTGAAGTCAAGAGTCTGCACCAGGGTATTAATGGGGAAATTTTCACTTTTACTTAGGTTTAATTTGTAGCCAGAATTTATTCCAAATTCCTTAAGCAATGATAGAATGGAAGGCAATGTGTCAATCGGATGAGAGATGAAAAGTAAAAGATCATCAGCATAAAGGGAGACCTTGTGCTCCATATCACCTCTCCAGATTCCTGAAATTGTGTCACAAGACCGCAAAGCAATGGCAAGAGGTTCAGTTGTCAGGTCAAAGAGCAGAGGGCTCAGTGGGCATCCCTGACGAGTTCCTCGATGTAGACTGAATGGTTTCGATATCTGAGAGTTGGTACGAATGGTTGCAGTGGGATGTGAATAAATTAATTGCACCCATGTAATGAAATTGGGGCCAAAACCAAATTTGTCAAGAACATTAAACAAGTAGTCCCACTCAACCCGATCAAATGCTTTCTTCGCGTCAAGGGAGATAACACACTCGGACAGTATCCGAAGGAGAATAAATAATGCACAAAAGGCGCCTGATATTAAAAAAGGAATGCCTGCCTTTAATGAATCCAGTCTGATCTTTTGATATGATGAAAGGAAGGATCTTTTCCAACCTTTGAGCAAGAACTTTGGCTAAAATTTTGGCATCTGTATTTAAAAGGTAGATTGGTTGATAAGAGGAACAATGAGTTGGATCTTTTCCTTTCTTTGCAACGAGGGTAATGCAGGCCTCTTAAGAAAGATTTTGGAAGGGATCCTTGGTCAAACGACTCTGAGAACCGAGTGTAAGAGTGGGGAGAGTAAAGGAGAAAATTTCTTAAGAAATTCAGCAGGGAAGCAGTCAGGGCCCGGACATTTGCCAGACAGCATTACCGATACAGCTGACACAATTTCTGTCAAGGATATTGGGATCTCCAGTGCATCTTTCAGGTTAGGTGTGAGTTTCGGCATATTGGTCTTTTCGAAAAAGTGAGAAGATACATTTTTCATTCAACCTTTATTTAGACAGGTAAAGCCCATCCCAAATTCTTGTTGGTTTGGGATTCTGAAGTATATAAATGGGAATAAAAGTCCTTAAATGCTCTGTTAATTTGTAAATGATCAAGAGTTATGGTGCCATTCTTTAATTGGATCTTAGGGATGATTTGTTTAGCCGTGGCACCCTTCAACTGATTTGCCAGTAGTTTTCCTGACTTTTCTCCATGTATAATAATAATAATAATGAATTTAATTTGTAACGCACTTTTCATTAACAAAAATCTCAAAGTGCTACAGAGTGCAACTAAAATCAATGATAAAATCAACTAAAATCAGTGATAAAATAAACTAAAATCAGTGATAAAAATCAACTAAAATCAGTGATAAAATCAATTAAATCAGTGATAAAATCAACTAAAATCTGTGATAAAATCAACTAAAATCAATGATACAATCAACTAAAATCAATGATACAATCATGTGGAGGCAGAATAGGCTTGCTTAAAAAGAAAAGTCTTTA